GCACCCACTTCCTCAGAGAGGAGGAAAAGGAGGTGTCTAGTCCTGCACCACAGGAGGCCCCAGCTTCCTTCAGAACAGGACAGTTGCCTTGAGTGGAGTGAGAGTAGCTCTTCAAAGAAATATTTTTTTTCAATTGCTTTTCTGAAGAGAAACAACTTTCTCTCTGGAAAGGCTGCTTTTCTGTGGTGGAAACTCTTAATGAAAACCATGCTCTTCTGAGCTTGAACACCACAACCATCACTGCTGTTTATGCCCATGAAACCTCCCAGGAAGCCTACTCCCATCAGTTCAGGGCAGTGTGGCTCATCCGTCTTAGTGATTGCACAGCCAGGAAGAGAGATGACTGGGACATAGTGGTCTGAAAACTGCAGTTAATTCTGAGGTGAGTTTGTTTCCTTCCAGGAGTGCAGAGAAGAGCCATGTAGCTCCACAGCATCGGAACTTGACAAAAATTCAAGGAACTGAGTGCAGGTTTTGGGATACGGCCATGGTAGGAGCAAATATAAAGTACAGCGGAGCTGAAAATATATATGCACTTTCTTAAGAAAAATCAGTGACTGTGACAGTATACAGACCTTTGGCATCAGCAGAATCTAAACGCTTAGGCCTCTGGTTTGATTCAGAAGTTTCCTTTGGAAGTACTGCCAACTCCACAGAATTTGAAAAGGGTCCTTCCCCCACTTCGTTGGATGCAGATATCTTGACAATGTACACATTTCCTGCCACCAGGTTTTCTAACAAAGCCATGGTTATTGCCCCTATGAATAAATACATCAATTAAAAATTAAGTAATCTTTACCTGTCATTCCTTCTTTCAATCACATAATCATGGATCTTTATTTTAAAAATATTTTTCTGATTATAAAAGTGGCATATGTTCATTGTAGAACATTTGGAAAATAAAGCTAAATATAAATAAAATGACAATCTCCCATTGTTAACATTTTGATGTATCTGTGTGTCTGCACAGTACCTGTATTAAGGACATATTTATTCTGTACATTTCTCTATCCTAGAGTTTTCACTTATTATACCATGCACACTTCCCCTACATAATTCTCTATAATTTTGTTTTAGGAGAATTTCTTAAGACTAACATATATTTTTGTGTTTTCTTTTACTATATATGTTTTTTACAATATAATGTTTTCCTCTTTACATAGGTATGGATACTTAAAATATTAAAAACATTTTATTATGGAATATTTCAAACACAGGTAGAGAAAATGGTATAATGAACCCAGATTCAACAATAATTAGATTTTTCAAATCCAATAGGAGAGTCTTTTTTTTTTTTTAATAAATGTTCAAACTACTATGGGAATCACTGTGATAAATGATCTTGTCCTTAATTCTTAAATTAGAAACAACACAATTATTTTTGTAAGTATAAAATAGTTTTCACCCTCCTAATCATGATCTAAGATTTCTTGAATGTAAACAGGAAAGAAAATGCCAAAGTTAGATAGGAACCTCAGAGTGTTGAAGACTTTGACCTCAGATTAACTATTAAAATTATCACCACCAATCTGCTTAGCATCTACTTCTCTCCAAAATTAATCTTCATTTAAATTTATACATGACATTTGGAATTAAAAGGTATTTCTTCTGTTGGCATGACTGCTAGCTAAGAAGAATTCCTATTTGGGCACCGCTGTTTCTTGAGGGGCTCTTTTTGCTCTTGGTCTGCCACTGCACTGAGGTATTTTTCTTACAAAAGGGGCTCCCACCCTAGGAACTAATCCTAATGTTAAGAAAGCAAGTGTAATAAAAATTCACCAGAAAGTTGTTCCAAAACCACATTTGTAGGTAGACAGTCACAGGGGAATCTAGCTTTCCTTTCCTACTGCGATTTCACTTCATTTTTTTTCCTGATTCAGGGCATCCTCACAATGGAATAGCCTCAAAGAGTTTACAATAGCTTACAGGAGGCCAGAGCTGGCTACTCTAGTGTACTTGCAAGAGTATGTTTTACTATGCAAGTGAAATGTGGGGTGATCTTAGTGCTGAGGACACGATTCAGAGGCCACTTCTGTAGGTCACATGATGTGAGGCAGCTGAACCAAGTGGCAAAGAGAGGAGCCAAACGCAGCTTGTTTTCATATTCTATGGTTTCAACTTGGCCTGAAGAGAGTGTGAGCTACTTGAGTACACAACTGTTAAATAAACAAACTGACCCCTATTTAGAATCAGGAAAAGTCTTTCCACTCTTACCATGTTCTTAGGCAGGTGAATTAAAAATCTAAGATGTATTGTGACAGGTTAACAATTAGCTGGAAGGAAGAACATTTCAATTTCTTCACAAATAGACAAACTGAGTTTCCATTTTATCACAGAATATATTTAATTTTTAAAAGTACTTGGCAAATACTAGTCACTACCTGAAATTAAAGGTCTTTCCATTTAATTTAAATTTTAGAAGCAGAAGATATGAGTATGTTCATATGCATATGTGCTGCCCTTCTTTCAGACCAAAAAAAAAAAAAAAAAAAGGCAACTATAACATTCCGGTTCCCTTATGAGCACATTCAAAGCAGTTCCCAAATATTAAAGTGAGCTGACTATTCCTGCATGATCTTGGCATACTGTCTCAATCTAGTGCGATTATTTCAGGCTACTGCCTTTCATATGTGTCTGAATCTTTAGATAGACTGGTAGGAGTTTCACAAACCAGACAGTGTAATAGGCTCAGTGTTATATCAACATTGATCAAATGCTGGCATGCTACTAACTAAGTAATTTGTGACTTGGGGCACATTACGGAACTTTGCTTTCCTCGTGGGTGCAATAATTCTCACCTCATGTAATGATTATAAAAACTAAATAAACTACCCCTAGCAAGTGTCTGACACGAGTGTACATATTCGATGAAAGTAAGTCTTCTCACTTCTGACATTTTTTTTTTTCTTCCTTTTCTGGAGGACAATATTTTCTTATTTTCATAATTGAACAGCGTAATTTGATTGAACAGCTAGCATAATGCTTTTACAAGATAATTCTCAATAAATGCCAGCTGAACCTATATTAAAATGTAATCTTTTTATTACCAAAGGGGCATTTATTTAAAATGTTAAAGCAAAAGGTAAAATTTCCAGGTTGGAGAAGCACCCCAGAATGCAGTCTCAGACCTTTCTATCTTCCATTCACACTTTCTAAGTGATTTTTTTTTCACTTTCACAGTCTCAAATATCTTCTTCACCCTGATGACTTCTAAGTTATACCACTAGTCCCATGAACTTAATCCTCCCATCCAACCTCTTAGGCATCGCAAATTTAACATGTTCAAAATCAGACCTTTGCTTCTTTTTTTTATTACACCCCACATCAATTTACAGCAAATCTAGTAGCTGTTCATTCAATTTATGTTCTAATAGTTTCTTACTATCTTCTCCATTATCACTCCTGTTCAAACCATTAATTCTCACGTAGACACCTGTGTATTAGACTCCTAACTTCTACTCTTACCTCCTTATAATCAATTTTTCAGGTGACTGCCAGAGTAATCCTATTAAAATATAAATCTGATCAAAACTCTCCAATATCTTCCATCTCTTAGAATAAAATCTGTGGTCCACAAAGTCTGGCCTACACGATCTCCCCTTGGTTACTCCCTCTGGCCCCATTTCCATCCACTCTAGCCCCTCTGTCCTTCTTGTTCCTCTAACATACCCAGCACACTTCTGTCTCAAGGCCTTTGCACTTCCCCCAGATATCCACATGGCTCTGCTCAGATGTCATTTCTTCCAATGGAACTTACTTTACTATGTCCCATTACCACTTTGTCTTTTCCCCCTATTGTAGTTTTCTTTAAAGCACTTATGACACTACTTGAATATTTATATATTTGTTTGTGTGTTACCTGAGATATAAGGTCCAATGGGGAAGGGATATTGTTTTGTTCACTGTGGTATTTCCAATGCCTGTGGAAGAGCCTGTCACATATAATCATTCAATAAGAATTCATTTAATAAATCAATTATGTTCCTACTATTAGTAGTCCAATTTATTTGGCAAATGTTGTAGTAAAGGGATTCCTTTAGTAAAGAACTTTAATGTCCAGTATGAATCTCTAATAGGAGGAAATGGCATATAGTGTTTCTCAAACTTATTTAGTCATGGAACTTTTTTTTTTTTTTTTGAAGAGGGGCACCTTTACGATTTTGGGAAACTCTTGCTATGAGAAACAGGGTTCAAGAATTGTAAGAAAGCATGATTTCTAACAGTACCTTTTAGATTTTAAAATAATTGAGTAGTTTGTGCTGATTTACTGTATATCAAGAAGTGTAAAGGCTATAATTTCTGATCCTTTAAATTACACAACAAGCATTATTTCATATCACATTTCTGCTCAACCATTTTAGCATGTACCTCTGTTGAAACAGTGAGATGATTTACAGCCTCATGAGTGACCTCGGGAAAAACCAACAGAAGAACTGCCCAGCTGATCCCAGTCCAAATTGCTGACCCACAGACTTGTGAGAAAGTACAGTCGCTAAGTTTTAGAGTGGTTTATTAGGAAGCAATAGTTAACTGATACAAATATAAAATTATATTGCTGACAAGTACTTATTACTTTCATATCTCTTCAGTGACTAGGAAATCATTACTTAGGGGGGCTCCTGATTAATGAAAAAATGATACAACTATCAAAACTCTAGTTAAAGTTATCATTTGTTTATTTTACAATTGCACAAAAAGCTGTACATTACATCATGTAAGTGTCTTTAAAGTTTATTCTCTTAATTGGGTAAATATTCTCCTTAAAAAGTAAAATGTATGTGGAAGTGCCTTGAACTGTAAAGTGTTTAGAATATAAATTTTATTCTTGAAATCCTCAAGATTTTAATTGCTTGGCAAACTGTTCTTTTCCCAGCATGCATGTCTGAATTTAAAAAGTGCCAAAATAATAAATTTTACTATTTATGTGATGACCCATCTAAAAACTGGCATTAAGACTTGTCCAAATGAAAGATTCAAACATTTCAAAAGGATATAATGATTTTTTTAAAATAGTGTTAAAAAATTAAATTTAGTGTTCTTAAGCCCTACTTAGCTTTTCTCTATACTTAAGTGTACCCTAATATTCATATCGGTCAATTTATTTGCAAATGGACCATTTTAGTAGCTGTACAAAAGGTCTTCACCCTTAAATCAGGTCCTCTTCTAATGTTTGCTACTCCAGTGCAAAACACACCACCACCAGAAGTCTAGCAATTACCTATAACAAGTCTCCCTTAATTCTCTCTCAACCCTCCTTAAACTACCAAGTCCTGAAGATTTTACCTCCTTAATATCTTTCAACCATTCTCTCCTTTCCATCTCAATCCTCATTACCTGAATCCAGGTTTATCATTTCCTTCCTGGACCATTACAATTACTTACTAGTCTCTTTGCATTACTCTTACTCACTCCCCAACTCCTCCTCAAAAAAACCTCTTTTATTTACAACAGTCAGAGAAATGCGAATCATATGCTCATGCTTAAAATGTCGATGACTTCCCAACACTCTCTGAATAAAACCAAAATCTTTAATTATTTGTTACTTCACAAATATAAACTCAAAACAAACTCTAGGTCCCTCTTTCCCATTGTTTCTTTATCATTAATAATCTTACTTTTCATTCTCTTTGATAACTTACGATCATATTTACCTTCTCGGTGTAGGACCTGCCACTCTCCTGCAATCCAGGCCTTCCTTGATGCATACAAGATAGTATAGCGTGTCACAACTGTCTCTGGGCCATCAGGGGGTTTCCAAGAAACCAGAGCAGTGTCATCCTCTATCAAGGTCACTTTTACTCCAACTGGTGGGCCTGCTGGTGCTGTGTACACACGTAGAAAATATGGTATTATTAGGATAAAATGATAATAAACACTCAAATCCATGGCTACTAGAGACTGACAGGCATAGAAAAGAGTTTGAAAAACTAGGAACCACTATAAAAACATCTCGAAATTACAGCTTTTACAATTATTAGTCATAATAGTAAAATACTATTTTCTTCATTTTCTGAAAGCTAATTTCATTTTTATAATGTTCAAAACATTTAAAAAATATAAAGAACATTGTAGATTCCTAGGTGGGGAATGACTAAGTCAGAGGGTTTAAGCACTTTTAGGATTCTTGATATGATTTTGCCAAACTGATTACTAGAAAGGTTTACAGTTTCGCCAGTAGCACCTGCTTATGAGATAGTGAGTCTTACCCCATTAAGTACTGAATATAAACTACATTTCTTACTAAAATTTATAGAATATATATTCAACCTGATCTAGGAAGCCACAAACGAAAACACTTCTGAGACCAAAAACATTTAGTTTTTCTCCAAAAACTTGTGAATCAGTGAGTTTATAGGACAGAATTTACACTAATAATTTATACCTGTGAAAGTAGTGAAGTCTTGGGATTTTAATTGACCTTATTTTTAATATGCAATAAAAGTGTAAAGAGCGGGTTTGGGCACCACATTGCATGTGGAATATTGTCAAAACCATAAAAAAAAAAAGCCCTTGCTCACTGAAATAAATGTTCTTTGTCTTCTCTAATTAAAATAATTAAAATAAGGTCCTTAGATCATCTAGTTCTTCACTCTCATCCTAGAGAAAAGGAAATGTAAGTCTGGAGACATGAAGTATCTTAGCTAGAGCCATAAGTAAACTATAGAATTGGTGCTCAATCAGGTATCATATCCCCTGCCCTGTGCATGGCATCAAGCTCATGTATACATTCATTCTAATATGGGCTCCTAACATCATTAACACATACATTATTTACTTATTTGTATTTTAAATGATTTTGGCACAGGCCTGAACAGCATACCTGATTTTTTAAAAATTTAGTGTCCCCTAAAGAGGCACTAAGAAATGAAACAAATATATACCCATTAACTGGTAGGTGGCAAACCAGGGTAGTTGCCTCTTCAAAGTGACATATATATATTTTAAACATTTAGATAAAACCCACAAGGGAGCTGCTTTCTTTACCTTCTGGAAGGGTAGAATGGTAAACGACAGGGCTCCAGGGACTGGAAAGCTGATCCACATGCAATCGAACAGCAAATTCATATTTGGTGTTTGGTTCTAGACCTTGAACCAACATGTGAGTTTCTGATCTATAATAGTGAGCAATGAAATTGTTAATGCTGGTAGCACACTGTTTCTAAAAGTTTGTCAATACTCCCAATCAATACAGGTAGGGAGGACATACTGTTATTAGCTCCTCATTTTCTTTAAAAATTTATTTTATATTGAAAGAGGAATCTAATTCAACTGTTAGAATACTACATTTAGTATTATCCTATAAAAATAAGCTTACAAATGGCCTCTCTCGGAGGAAACTAGGAAATTAATAGTATACAAATGTCCTCATACAAAGGGATTTCCTCTGAAATATTAGAAGTCAAATTATTCTTTTAAATCATAGTGATGGGCATCTTTTTATTTATAACTTAGGAAACATGAAAACTAGCTTTATTTTTTGATGGCAGCATGATAATAATCTTTTCTTTCTTTAAACATGCTTTTCTTTAGCTACTTGAAAGTGAAAATAGCTTCTTCCTTAATCTTATTGCTTGAGGCTGGGAAAAAAAAATCATTTACAGAAGGAAATTATATGTCAAGAAATACAGTTTCTGAATTTGGTAAAGATGCAAAATCCCCAGACATTTTATAAGTAAGATAAGTCCTGAGATGAATGCTTATAGGAGAAGCTCAAGCTGGCCCAAGTGGTAAGAAGTATGAATGGGGAGGACAGCAAAGAAAACAATCATTAATAGAAGCTACATACGTTTGAAGGTATAGAACCAAAGAAGCATTCTGCAGGCCGACAGGGTTACAGCGGATGGTGTAGTTAATTATTTGGGCAGTGGTGAACGCAGGCCTCCTCCAGTGCAGGAAGATGGAAGATGAGGTGTTAGCCTTCGCATAGAGATGGTGAGGTGGTGGTGGAGGAGGAACCATGCGATCACGAACAGCTATTGAAAAAGACAATGTTAATTTACTGCACAGCATAACATTTAATGTAGAAAGTGATAAATGGTAAAATCATAATACCCCACCCTGTAAGTTGACTTTAGGTCTCTCTTCAACAAGAGGTTCATAGTGGTCTAGAGATATGTTATTCAAATCTGTGTATTTCTTCCATGAGTTAGATAAGGAATCAAATATTATCAATACTTAGATTGTAAAACAAAAGCATAGAGAAGTGAAGTTATCAGCCAAAGGCATTCAGAAAGCCAGTAGTGGACTTAAAACTAGACTGACACCCATTTTAGTAGCAATAAAACGAAATTGCTCTTAGTAGCAATAAAACTGAACAGCTATTGGAAGGAAATAACTCACCTCGAGATTAGAGCAGATAAAAGAAAACTCACTATATGCAGGTTTCCAGGGTTATTTTCCCAGTTGAATCTTTTACGGTCTTTTGCAAGCGAAAGTAAAATAGGATCTTATAATTAAATACATCTCACTTAAATATTTCCTGAGCATGTACTTGTTCAAGATACTATGTTAGGCACCATGGATGATATAAAGTAATAAAACCACTAAGGCTTCCAAGTAGTAATGAGATTTAAATTTAAAGAAGGAAGAGGAGAAAAGGAGTGTGAGCCGTACAGAGTGAAACGAGCCACCATAAGTCTTACGTACACACGCATCCTGGGGTGCTGACTGTCTGATCTGCCTGATAGCCATCTTCTATATTGTTGTAAGCCAGCAGCCTCACATGATATTTTCTTCTAGGGTCTATAAAGAAATCAACAGGTAATAATTAGGTCTAGCCATCTAGATTTGAACAAAAGTTCTAGAGCCTTTCTAGATTTGGTTTTAAAATTTTTCTGAATGAATAACAGTTCTAAGTAAAATTAAATATTTTTCTCTCCCTATCCTACACAATGCCTCAGCAATTCACCTTAGTATGACATTGCTATTGTGACTACCAATTATTTAAAATTTTACTTCAGCTCACTTCAAACAATAACATTACTAGTACACTTCCTCCTCCTTCTCAACTGATCAGAGGTAGATTCTCAACTTTAAAAGACTTGGGTTGTGTGATAAATCACCTATATGAGACGTTACACTATGTAGAAGTTTTGGTTTAGTTATTTGAGGGTAGTTTATTAAAATCATGAAAATCAAAGTGGGATGTTTTCTCCCTCAAAGTTAAGGAGAATTACAATTTCATCCTTTAGTACTTTTGAAAGTTTTTATAACCATGTAGTTATTTCAGTTTATTTCTAAGCATGCCCTTTCCACAAACCTACATTTTCAAGTTGAGAGCTAATTTCACCAAGAAAGATGAGTTTGAGCTCCCTCTACTGGTGTTCATTAACTATCACAAACTGTAAATTAAAGTGTACCATGCATATTAAAACAAAAAAAATTTTCTGGTCTTTGAGGAAATAAATGGTTATAAAATTTAAATGATATACTTTATAAGATATACAATAAGTTTAGTAATATAAATAAATTTAAGTGTAACCATTCATGATAACATTTAACTACAGAGTGCTTGCTTAGGGCAAAAATAAATACTAATCAGAAATAATATATTTCTTTTCTCTCCTAGCTTTACTGAGGTATTGCTGATAAATAAAAGTTGTATATATTTAAGATGTAAAACTTTATGTTTGAGATAATTATACATTATGAAATGATCACTACAATCAAGCTAATTAAAATATCCATCATCTCATATAGTTACCATTTTTGTGTGTGTTATTGTGTGGTGAAAACCTATACTCTTAAGACCTATACTCTTAGCAAATTTCAAATATACAATACAGTATTTACAACTTTAGTCCTTATTCTATATATTAGATCTCCAGAACTTATTCTTGCATAACTGAAACTTTGTACCTTTTGTTCATCTCATCCCATATTCCCCACCTTCCAATCCCTGGCAACCATAATTCTACAATCTGTTTCTGTAAGTCCAACTATTTTAGATCTCAAATATAAATGAGATCATGCAGTAATTGTCTTTCTGTGTTTGGATTATTCTACTTAGCGTAATTTCCTTTAGGTTCATTGATGTTATGCAAATGGCAAGATTTCATTCTTTTTTAAGGCCAAATAATATTCCAGTGTGTGTGTGTGCGCGCGTGTGCATGCGAGTGCGCGTGCCACATTTTCTTATCTATTCACCAGTCGAAAAACATTTAGGTTGCTCCCATATCATGCCTATTGTGAATAATGCTGCAAAGAACATGAGCATGCAGATATTCTCTTAGAGATACTGATTTCATTTCCTTTTGGTATATACCCAGAAGTGAAAAAATAACCATCTTGAATAGACATATCCAATGTGGAAAAAGACTTACAATTAAAAAATAAAGATAATTATAGAGTGAATACAAACTCTTAAAATCCAAAAATCAAATGTGAAGTTTATTAAACTCCCTAAAGTAATTTAAGAGTTTGTATAAATATTCTAGAAACTGATTAATATATTCTAATATTTAATATTAAAATCCATTTAAAGATTTCCTAAAATATAAAAATTTATTTCTATTTGTTTTGGTAGAATTAAAAGCATGAGAAGAAAAATTTATACAACTTAGAAAATTTCTTTACTTCTAGATAAAAAGCTAAGAAGACTAATAACTTTTGACTACCCTATAGAAAATGTTTTTCAGATATAGTATCTTGAGTATCACAAAACTCTGTAAGATATGTTATTCCTACTTTTTATAAACTATGGTAAAAAGTATTAAGCAGCATGTCTAATGTCATATAAAGCTGAACCAAGAACTTGTGGATGTGACAAAGTACTGGGCCTTTAAATTTACACAAATAAGTGCCTTTGTCACAGCACTTAAGTTTGTCCCCTTTTAATGAATTTTAAAACAGAAATATTTTCAAATATTTTATAAAATAGTTACCAGAAAACATAGAAACACTTTTGGATTTCATCACTCAAATGATTTCCAATATTCATCACTGAAATTCTAAGATTCAAAAGGTTTTGATTTAGTTTAAGGACAACTTAATTTAAATCTTTTTCTTTCTCTCTTCCTACCATATTGCTCAACTCAATAGTCAACTGAATTCTGAGTTCAATATTACAAATACTCCCTGTGAATGGGTACAAATGGAATTCATTTGGCTCTTTGCAATCTTGTTCTTTATATAAATTCATAGTGCAATCTTCAAAATTACGTCTTTATTCTGTCTCTTCTCAGAAGAGTATCTTTAGGAAAGCTCCTTGACTATGAGGTATTATGTCAGGAATGTAGCAGATACAGAATAGGAATGAAGAGATAGCATTTGCCCAAAGTGCTCAGTCTCACGGAGCCAGATACAGATGCGGCTGTCTCTCAGAGAAAGCTGACTTTGATGAGGGCTAGGTAGAACAATTAATCTTTTTTTCTACTGTGCAAACAATCGATCAACACTTCATAAATATTTCTCTGGAATTTTTTTTTTGTAGTCCTAAAATTGATTCTTCAAGTTTTCCTTTCTTCTTCTTTAAAAAATGAACTGCTTGAACTAAATTTTAAACCCAGAATTAACCTTTTTTTTTTTGGCTGATCAGATAGAAGTAGCTTTATGAGAAAATGAGAGGTCAGAGTTGCTCCCTTAACACCCTCAGAACAGAATCCGACGTCCCACCACAGGGAGGAGCACCCCTTCTGGTTCCCATCTGGAACTCATCCAAGTAGCCAGTGCAACCATCTCTGGTGCTGGGCTCCTTCCCCTGCTAGTCTACATGAGGTCAGGAAAAGGTAAACCATCGAGCAGGCAGATCAAGTACATGGGGTGCACTAGATTCCTGTCTTCTACACATTTGTCATTATATGATCCCCTCTTTACGTTCTACAAAGAATCTTGTTTTACAGAATAAGAAGTGCCAGGATAGGGGCCGAGCTGAGCAGTAGGCCACATGCGTTGTCCGTGTGCTCCACTTAGGCTTTAAAAATACGACTCCAATTTCAAAATCTAGTCCTTATATTATTTTGACTTGTTAATCCAGAGACCTCCCAGAACAATGTGGCTCATTTTCATTCACCAATCTGTTAGAAATTTGATTTCACATACCGAGCCCTCAAATAATGTTAAAATGAGTATTATCAGGCAATAAGAGTCATCAGCTAAAAAAGAAAGCAGAGAACAACTACAAGATTAACAAAATTAAAATTAAAGATACAGAGTAAAAAAATAGAGTTTAGGACCAATATATCAAACACAGGTGAATGCACAAATAATGTACCTCGGCCTAAGTAGCACAAATTCTAAAACTCTACAGTTCTGCAAAGACTCTCTAATGCATAAGGGACAAAGCAGAGACCGAGAAGCAACACTGAAATGCCACAGGGAACAAGTTCCCATGGCCTGTTAAACTGCTTCTTGAGTATGTGGTGCCACGTATGTGGTGCTTGGTTACATGAGACTCAGCAGACTCAGGCTAGCTATGTGGTTTAGGGAGAAAACAGCAGAGTCAGGAAGAGCAGCCACAAAGAATAGTGCAGGCCTTCTCAAAACCAAGTGATGAAAGGAGAAGAAAGGGAGAGGGGAAAGCACAAGGGTTATAAAAAAAAAAAAAAATCACTCCTTAATAGGGTTAACTCTTAATGGTCCCGGGGGTGATGGCTCAAATAGTATTTGGATTTATGGTTAAAGTTGGTTAAAGATTTAGCAATATGCAAAGATGAAGGGTCAGAAAAGAAAGCTCAAATTAATTTAACACAAATCTGACTTTATAAATGTTTTGAGTCATGACTCCAAAGTGTCAGCTTAAGTTAATGTGATCATGATCCTAGACAAATTAATGTGTCTATTAGAGAGCCAGCCCTTGGCCAAAAAATGAAGATCTCCATCTTCGAACATTGCTATCTTTTTTCCACTGGCTCCAGGACTGGCCTCACTTCTTTCCTTTCTGATTTACTCTGACCACTTGCTTTTCTACTTGAGTTTGCTTCACATAGGGAGGAATGAGAATCAGAAATCTGGCTGGTCGAGAAAGAGTTCACAGGTATCAAATAAACAATTTGTACTCTTAAAAATCAGGCATTGTACAGAAGACTCAAGGATTAGAAAGACATTTCTCACTTTCCATTTCAATCTACCAAAGGAGACATGCTGGTAAATGAACACTCTGTATTACTGACTAATTATATAACCTTGAGCAAGTTCCTTAATTTTCTTAGCCTCATTTATTTTCCTTTGAAAAATAGAGATATAATCCCTTAGAGAGATTTAAAAAGTATTAAATGAAATCATGCCTATTAAGTACTTTGTACAGTTCCTATAATTAGTAGACACACAATATTATTGTACTTATTATGTGAGTAAAGTTACCTGGGAGGACAAAAAATGCACTACCAAAAATACGGTACGCTTTAGTTTAAGAATCATCTTTGTGCAGTCAAATGAGTATCAAAGATGTTCGTTCATACAAGCAAGGTCTAATATCCAGAATATCAGGATATTAACAATTAGCAAATACTGACGCCAAGTTCTAACAACTCTTTGTCTTCATTAATATTCTCTGGTGTATAGAGTAGGTAAAAGCTCTCAAGCATGTGTCTGACTTGTATGTATGAATGAATGAGCTGCATTTTGTGTTTATGGCCACTGAGAACGCTTGCTGTTTTGGCAGTCATGTCATATGGTGTATAATCCTCTGAGCCTCAAATCTACCTTCATCCACGTCTTCCATATTAATCTAATTTCTTATCTGCTAACAAAGAAACAACCTGATGATGATAAGTGCTTTGCAAAATAACTTAACAGATTTCTTT